CGAAGCACCCACCTGCCTCCCACGCGCTTTCCATCCAATGCACGGGCCGCTTGCCGCGCTGCATTCATGCCGTCCCAGAGCATGCAGTAGCCAGCATTTATGCTGAGCGACGTGACTAGACGTGAAGGCGGCATTGACAGACACGACCTCTCGGGCGTCGCCACTTCAATGTGGACACAATGTCCCAACAAACCAACTCCGGCAGCTGCGCTGCATTGAAGTGGGCTGACCGGCCCTTCGCATGGCCTGCCCGTGGCTAGTTAAGCCATGCGCCGACGATGCACGTCCCCACTTCGTCCTCTCCTCCTCCCCAAGCCCCTCCAATTCCAGCGGTGATGCCGAAGTCGTGGTTCTCTTCGCCGGCAGGTGGAGGCGGTGGCCGCGGTAATTCATCTTCACGCGGATCTTGGCGCCGCCACCCTCGCTCTCCGGTAGTCTCGGCATCCACGGCGGTCGGCTCCCCAGCAAGGAGGAGATTGTCATCTCTCGCGCTGACGAGGAGGACTAGAAGTCACAGCAGCAGCCGGAGCAGCGGCCGCGCCTCCTCATGAAGGCGGCTCTGACGAACAAAGAGTTTGTCTGTCAGATGGAGAACAACGGAGCACTTGTTCCGTCAGATGGGCCCAACACCATCATCGCCAGCGCGGGTCAAGGAGGAGCCACAGTCCCCGTCGCGGCGCCCCGTTGCTCGCCGCCCGGTCAAGGAGCTGCCGCTCGCGATCACGGAGGCGTGGGGACGCATGCTCTGCTACCTCGGAGGCGGCGATGTCGGCGGTTCCTCGGGCTCGAGGGCCATCGTCCCCGAGGAGTGGATGGTATGGTAGCAGGCGCAGTACAACTGGCGCAATGCCCGACATGGCACTAGAATGGGTCCGCAATGACCAGGACCCACTACTAGGGAAAAGCCTACTAGTAGCGCGGGTTAAATAGCTAGTAGTAGTGCGGGTTCCCGTGCGACTACTAGCTCACTACAACTAAGTGGTAGTAGTAGCGCGCGGGTGCCATCCGCGGTACTACTATTAATTTCAAAAACAAAAAAAATCTTGATCCCATGCGTGCTGTCAATGGCGGCAATGATTCGATCCAACGGCGATAGGGGTCGCCAATGGTGCGGACGAGCAGCGGCAGACCAGATCCGGCGGCGGCTGCTGGAGAGGGGCCGAATCTAGGGAAGAGCAAGACGGCGGTGTGGGGCTCCTCTTCACGACGAAGGTAGAGAGCTCCTCGTCATCCATGGCGAAGACCTGCACGGGGATGGACATGGGAGGACGAGTCAAACCAGAGGGGAGAGGGAGAAAGAGAAATGAGGGAGAGAGGAAGGAGACGGAGGGAGCACCGGGGCTAGTCGCTGGTGGTGAGGTGCTCCGGTGTGGTGGCATGGAGGTGAGGGGGGAGACCGACGAGCTCCTGGACGCGAGCGGCGCGAGGCGGCGGCCTCGTTGGCCGCCATGGAGCAGGCGCGCATGGGCAGGAGTGCCATGGGAGAGCTTATGAGAGAGAGGGGGGGGATTTGGAGGAGATGGGGATCTCAGGGCTGTAGAAAACCCTATACTTAGTAGTAGCGCGGGTTTATAACCCTCACTACTACTATAGCATGTTCCGGGGGGCATGGTGGAGACCACATAGTAGTAGTGTGGGTTTATAGCCCGCGCTATTACTATCAACTTAGTAGTAGCGCGGGTTTATAACCCTCGCTACTACTATGGCATGTTCTGGGGGCCACGGTGGAGACCACTCAGTAGCAGCGTTGGTTTATAGTCCGCGCTACTACTATCAACTTAGTAGTAGCGCGGGATTTATACCCCTCGCTACTACTAATTAGCAGCAGCGCGGCCCATATACCCCTTGCTACTACTAAGCATCTATATATAAGGTATTTTCTAGTAGTGACCTCGCCGCCATGTGGGCCCTCGACCGCTCTGTCACCACCGCGGAGACGGCCGCTAGGTGCCGCCGTCAAGAGCTCACCAAGATCCCCGCGTGAGAGGTACATGCAATCAGGTAAGGTGAAAGCCTAGTGTTGGGGTTGAAGAGGAGGAGAAGACGGGCCGAAAGAGCATGTACTCGTGGATGAAGATGGCAACGGGAACATCCATGGTTTG